AATCGAGGTGGTTTGACGGGTGTTTTCTGGGCCCAACCACCCACTTAATACAAAATAGAAAAAGTGATGAGTGAAATTGTTAGGAATTCCAAGAAATTTCTTGAAACTGATCCACTTTGAATACATCTGCAATTTGCATGTGAACTGATCTATACTTCGATCATTTGCAAACAACCATCGAACTGTGAATAACCAATCGAATGAAAGTATTGCAGACACGATAATCAAATTACTTTTCATTCGAAGAGTGCATAATTCGTACGCAATTGTACTATTTATCAATAAGTCATGAAAAGTTTACGTTATGCAAAATGCATCTTATAATAACAACAACAGTAATATTAATGAGCAAATTATTGAAAGTCATTCAATTCACTGATATCCCTTTGAATTAGAAAATAATTATGAACGTAAAGAATTATTTATAGTAATGTTGCTATAACAACACAATCGGCAGTGATATGCGATAATGACAACAAAGTGTGAAAATTCAAGGATTCAACATTAAAAACCTAGATATTTCAGATGTATTGCGAAACTGAACAATGATTAATTGTGTGCAATTGGTACGTGCACGCCATTCAACAAACTGGTTTCCATGAGCAGCTTTAGTGGTTTAACAGTGCGTGAAAGTGCTCTTTTTCGAGTTATTTTATTTATTCATTCTATTCGTGTCAGTCAAGAAGCTACTGAGATTTCAACGGAAATTTGTCATGGAACCGACAACTTTTCATAAGAAGCGAATAATCTCTCAACTGTAATGAACGCTTACTAAGAGCAGAGATATTATAGAATCGCATCAATTTAATTATACAATACCAGAGATTTGCCGAATTCTTAGTAAACTTTATAAAATTCAAGGATATAGATTCAAAAAAATTAAGTGAGTGTCCCAAAAATAGCTTTCTACTTTCGTCAGGATTCAAGAACATCTGCACAGAAAAAATGAACAGAGGAACACGCCGGCGACAACAAATCGAACAATTAATTATTGACCTGATAAGAAAATGATCACTTAATGATTGGAACTGCCTCTAAACATTTACAGTCGGCAACACCGCGTTCAGCCTCCGGCATTGTATGTACATAACAGTAACCACCTTCTAGTCCCTGAAAACATGCGGATGCTGGAGTAGAAGTGTAAATGGCATTTGCACATGCCAAAACATATCGCATTAAAGTTTCCGGTGAGTGAAGTGCTTCTTCAAAGGTGCCACTCGAAAGTGCGACAATATTCTATAGAATGAATTTGCCTTAAAACGTCTTAACAAGCGGAAGTTCGGAACAATGATAATCACTGTCTTAATGATTACTCGAAGCACTTTTTGTCTTAAAGCAGCAGTGGTTATGTCTTAAAAGTCTTAAAATGTCTTAAATTAAAAATATATTAAAAATTAAAAATATCTTAAAAGAAGAAGCACAGGACCTGTTTTTTACAGTGGTTCACGCATTCCCGTTGTCGTTCAGTGCACAGCGTTTTATCGAGCGGTTCTCGATATTCGAAACATTCACAGCTAAACTCTCGCCCAGTCCAGCTTCGGCACTCACCGTACCAAAATGAGTCTTGCTTACAGATTTCATCACATTCTTGATGGTCACTTTTTTGACAGCCTGATCTGAATGACAGCGGTATCATAAATGCTGTCAAATCTTGTCAAACATGTGTCAAAAATTTTGACGATGTCAAAAGTCTTCTCAATGATAAAAATTTTGAGAAACAACTGATTAATGAGGGAGCCACGGGATTTTTTCTCAAAAATTCAGGTCAAATCGTCCAGCTCTGCAACTCTCTCTCCGCGGAGAATTCAATGTGTATGGATATCAAGAATACACGGTTGTTGAAAGAATGATTCGTGAAGGTTGAAACTTCGATAAATAACAGT